TAACAATAGATTGAGATCATGAATCAATTGATGTTAGACCACCGTTGGAAACCTGGAAGCACTGGACGGCCGTTTCGTCCTAGTATGGGACTCCTCAGCAGTGCGCATCCACGATCCCGCTCCCCGCGAGATTCGAACCCAGGACCTGTCGGTCTCGCGCCAGGCGCTTAACCAACTAGACCACTGAGCCGGCATCCAATGGTGCTAGTTTCTAACATCAACCAATCCACGAAATTGCGCGACCAACTTCCATTGTACTGAGGTAGATACCTGTCTCTACCCGACACGGATTAGCTCCACCATTGGATGCCGGCTCATTGGTCTAGTTGGTTAAGCGCCTGGCGCGAGACCGATAGGTCCTGGGTTCGAATCTCGCGGGGAGCGGGATCGTGGATGCGCACTGCTGAGGAGTCCCATACTAGGACGAAACGGCCGTCCAGTGCTTCCAGGTTTCCAACGGTGGTCTAACATCAATTGATTCATGATCTCAATCAAAAACTTAACTATCTCCACAACCCCTATACTGATAAATAACAATAGATTTAGTGAATATAATAAGATGATTAAAATGTTTTTTGTCATAATAATTAAAGGTCATAGAGGTGTAATAAATAATAAATAAGGTGATATGATGAGCATTTAGGAATAAAACAATGAGAATATAAGACATAAGTAGAGGGGGAATGCAGTAATAATAATAATAATAATAATAATAATAATAATAATAATAATAATAATAATAATAATAATAGGATAATCAAAATAATTAAGGTCAAGGTAACGATAACGATAAGACGTATTTCTTTTGTACGCATAGTTCTGATAATCTTCATAGGAGAATTATTAAGTTGTAAGATACTAATTACATTCTTTTGTTCTTTCTGTTTGTCTTCTTCCGATGTGATGATCTTGTTAGCTCTTCTAAAAAGATTTAAGGCTAGCGAGATATTAGCACTGAAAGGATGTGCTGAATGGAAGTCAATATAGCGACTTGAGTGTGTAGGTTTTCGGTAGATGGATAGATTTAGAATTCCATTTAGATTTCTTTTTACTAAGCAATCCAAGAATGTAGCTCATATCATATTTCAGTACCAGCTTCTTGATGATATCATATGGTCCTCCCACAGTTACCTTTCATGACTTGCTGATCCACTTGTTTCTCCGTTTGTGATTTTTCTGATCTGCTTTTTAACTTATTCTGTTGTTGTTGGGGGTGTCATCTATACATACTACTTCGACGTTTGTTGAGTTAATGGACACTGGTCTATTCAAAAGCTGTTCGTAGTGCTGTGCTCACCTATTCCTTTTCCACTCATCATGTTATTGGAAGCACATAAATATATGTCAGTCTGTCATCGATCTTGTCTCTCTCTCCCAGTCCATATCACCCCATAATGAGTTTATGGTCAATGTTGTTCATTAAGATCACTCATCTGAATGGCCAAGCATTTTTCTGGGCATTTATAAAGTATAGATTGCGGTCTCATATTAAGCTGGTCTTTACATTTTTTATTACCATCATTGATGAATGCAAAACGCTGAGTAACACTGATTGTAATGTTTCCCTTATTTTCGAGAATGCTCTGGTAATATTTCCGACGTGGAACTCTTATCCTATTAACTCCTTTGGTTCTTTATTGGAGAGCATCAGTACAAGTTTTGCTTAGCGTGTACACTTTATTCTTCATGACTTCAACGCAACAACATATCTTGTGAAGTCAGTCTTCTCTGTCCAGATTGTATCTGACGAGTTTCGCTTATTAAAAACATAACCAAGTTGTTTGTTCTTAAGTATGTGGCTATCTGAATGACCTTTCATTGTTTCTAACCTTGTTTGAACATTAAATGTCCCGATATTTATTGTTGTCCTCGTTTTCAAAAAGGGCGTCGGCCTTGTAGGGTTAGTAAGCTTACGCCCAACTTTTTTTCATTTTCCCAGGTGTATGACAGTCATTAGCCTAGTAGTGGCTGTAGTTGGATTTAGTTAATTATTAAGCTACTGTTAATAATATCGGACTTGCGACCATTTATCAATTAACTTGTTTCCAATTGTTAAACCACACATTCCAGTTCGTTCATTTATTACTAATACCTCTGAATATTCATCACTTTATCCAGTCCATCTTTTGATTGTTTCGTTAATCAGTCATGAAAGTTTTAATGTGTAATGTTGATAACTCATAGACCACCAATTGACCGGTATATTTTATTATCATTTGTTAAACATATTTATAGTAATATAGAACTATGATGAAAACTCATTGAAAATACATATATTTCTCTCTATTCTTCACTTCTAAATTCTAGATGGGAACCAGAAACTACGTATGCCACTGTGGATGACAAACTACAAAATATTCCGATAGAACAATGAGAAGACGGAGTTGATCTGAGAAATGTGATGTATTTACGCTTTACATTTCGAACAATCTGGTCACACATATATTTGTCAGGGCATTTTATATGAAAATTAATAAAGGTCAATTAAATGAAAGTTCAAGTAAAAAAGTAACAAAGGGGAGAGAAAGAATAAGAAATTGTCGCGTTATCTTAGGCCATAGAATGACTTGAGGATTACCAGGGTAAATTCAAGGTTACGACAAATTGCATTTGTACACATAAGGGGGAGGAATTAAATTTACGAATAGCCAAGGCTTCAGTAGACTTGAGAATTCGTCCTTGACAATTTGTATAAAACGTTTTAAAAGCAGTATTAATGTCAATTTTGTGCCCCGTTTCAATTATACATTTCGCTATCGATGAACATGGTTTTCTACCTCCTATCGGATCACTTGACACTAATTGGTTTTGAAGCCATCTAGTCACATATTCAATGACCCCTTGATTGCATTGTTCGATTACTCCTCCTTATGTATGTGTGTCCAAACAAACATGTAAAGTGGTAAATACAATGAGATGTAAAGTATTCATTTGTGTATTGTTTAGGTCTATTTGGAATCATGGGCTTAGACTTTTCAATCACAACCAATTGAGCAGCATAATAGGTTTTCTCTATGGCTGCTTTCAATCTCTGTCTTAAAACTAAACTATTGGATTCACCTCTATATGGTGGATGGATATAAACTTTTTTCTTTGGAACCGAGAGTGAGTGATTCAATGAAGAGAATTTTTTTGTAAAACTCATTCTCGAAGCCGCATGGTATATATCGTATACATTATAAATAACAACTCACAGTATGTGTATTTTATAACAATAAATAATCACAGTCATATACAAACAAAACAAACCAAAGTACACAATTCCATCTTTCTTATTTTGTGAGTCAACACGAAATTGTTAACATGTGAAAAATCAATAGGGAAGACCATATAAACCAGCCAAAAGTGAATAATTTTGTTAAGGAATCTCATCATACGATGGAATTTTTAAAAAATGCCTCGAAAAGTAGAATGATAAGTTCTAGGACAATAGAGAGAGAGATAGTTTGTGAAAACTGTGAATCAAAATTTAGAAAAAAGGTGTTGAAAAAGTCATTTTGAACCCATAGTTCAGGTTTCCTTATGCGTATGATGTTAATATTGTAAAGGTAACAAAAACGTGCTACTTTGTGGCGTTTCTACCTACCTTGCGAAGGAATGTATGTACCCCCATCAAGTATATATATATATGTTCATAAGGTTAACAAGTTCATCTAACCTTTTAATAATCTGTGTAGGGAGTCTTCTTTTCAGAAATTTGAAACAATTAATTAGTCCCTTTGATGAATTTCGATAATGCAATGAGAAGACAAAGTTTATCAGAATTATGTGATATAATTGCGCAATACATTTCAAACAATCTGATTGCATATATATACTTCCAATGGTCAAATCAGATCATAGGATAGATAGATATAATCCTCCATTGTGAAACATTTGATTGAGACTAGTCATAAGGTTGACATCAAGTCAGAATTTCGCAGTGTTGTACAAAAGCCTTCAAAATGACGTATACTAAGGTTTGTTGAAGCCTTGGCTATACGGAAACTTAAAATAATCATCACAAAACATTAAGATCATTACATAATAAGTGTATAAATAATTAGATAGTGAAGAATACAAACGGAAAGACGTGGAAAGTTACAAATAAATACCAATTGTGAAAATAATGCTAATGGTAACATAAATTAAATTTAAAAAAGTCATTTGTTAAGTTATATTCGGCCATAGAAGAGATAAGGGGTCACGAATTTCTTCTGTACACATAAATTGGAGTTAAATGTACGAAATCCTTTAGCTTCAGCTATATGTAAGAGACAGGAAAGAACTCTGTTGGGAAATGATGGACGTATACGACAAATCACTCAAAATTATTTCGATTATCCCCTTTATACGTACAAAAACGATTTGTCTTTACACTTAACCTACTCTGGTAATACTGATTTATTATCTAGTATAGTTATCACGTTGTTTTTGTGTACTCTATTATTATTATTTCTTTATTACGGTTTACTTTTCATTTATCTAATTGACCTTTTAGTTTTCATATCAAAATGTCTTAACAAGTATACCATGTGTGTGTGTGTGTGTGCAATCAAATTGTGCAAAGATATCATCACATTATTCTAATAAACTGTGTCTTCTTCGTCTTGTATTATCGAAATAATATAAATGTTCACTATCATATTTATGTGATATATTTCAAAGTGATCTTCTTTTAATGAATAAACAAAAATTGTTTATGCATGAAATATTTTGTTGTTCAATAACACAATTGAGCACTAGCAACAGATTGAAAATGAAGTAATCGATTGTTACCACTCAAATTATCGATCCAACCTTGTTTGGTCTTAATATTTTTTCGATTTTTATATGTGTGTATTTAATGCTAATAACTGGTCAATATTTTCATTTTCAACCAATAAATCTTCTCCATTTACGATCGAATTTAAGTAAAATAAACCAATCACAATGTAAATTGTTAAACTCTATTTTAATTGGTTAAACAAGAAGTGATAGATAGAGTGGAAAGAAATAAGACAATGATTTTACCCATTTAGATGAAAGGAGTTTTAACGATTCATATTGTTTCATACAAGTTAGTTGTTTTTGTTAGTACCTTGTTGTAAAATACAATCATAATCTTTATGTATGAAATATTGTATCATTGGTATCATTGACATTAATGTCTCAATTATTTATGGAATTATACTTTCAAATTAATAATTATATTTACGAGTTGTGATTAGATGGTGGTTGGACGTAGTCGACAGGACACCCTGGACTCGAGTTTCGTGCTATTTGGCACTCGTCAACAAGGTGTACCTGTTGTCTTGGGAGAACTGGTACTCCCTGACGGATTCGATCCCGTGTCACCTAGCTTCACAGTCGAAGACGTTACTACTCAGCTATCCGGGCCGGGACCGAACTCCTGTAGGACTGAGATGTAATCACAATTGATTGATCACTGGGTGGTGATCAATATCATATGTGTCAAGTCCTTATTAGTGCAGATCGAATGCTATGGACCATGCTTACAAGTTGTCCCGATTAATAAGACTGAATTAAGTAATACCGTATCCGATTTCCATAATATCAAAAAGAACATACTCTTTGTTGTCATCATTTGACTCATACCAATGGCAGTGTGAATTAATTAGGAATTCGTTTCGATACATACAATTTGAATAGCTTAGTGGTTTTCTTTGATGAGACTATAATTTATGGACAACCTTTGAGTGACGATGAAGTGACCTAGAAGGTGGACACCTACTGATCAGTACGAAATGAAGATTATAAAGCAGTAGAATTAACATTTACAGTTGATGGTTAGGGTTGAAAATTAGATCTAAAGTTTTCATCACGAACTGACATAAACTCTATTTAGCCAAAAGAATGCATGAATTTCGCGCCAAAACTCGTGACTCGTTATCTTATACCTGATTGGTTTGTCCATAAATGATACTCTCTCCGCTTTTTTACCGAGTAATCTAAAACTATAACTGATATTCCGAGAATCAAACTAAGGAATTTATGGACCTACTGGAAAGTATGTTTTATCCCTATTTTCGCTCTTGAAATGTGTTGAATGGAATTTAATTAGCGCCAACGAATCGACATGACAACGGTTGCTACTAACTAGTGAATTATTGTGCAAAAGTATAGGGCGTCCAAAGATTAAACATGATTGAGACCTTACTTAGTAGACTTTAGTCACAAGCTAACTTCCTCCTATACAAATGAGCAACCATTAAAGAACGCTTGACAGAAGAAACAATGAAATTGAAAATATAGTCTGCTGAATGTTTTAATTATTTTTTCATAGTAAACTTCTCATACACTTTTTTGAGATACCTACATTCATTTTGGATATAAAACTATCCAGTACCTTGGTAAACATTAGTAACTGAAAGACTAATCCTTCACTTTGCTTAATCTGTGGTATTCAGTCTGTATTCTTTTTCAAGATATGGGTCGTAAAAAGTTGTATCTTTTACAACGTCTCCATGAGGATATCAGTTCATTTTATCTATTGCGTATTTAGTAGTTGTGCTTTTTTTCTACTACATTCAATTTGCCTGATTAATACAAATACTTGAATTATCCAATCTGATAATCACCACTGAATCAACTGTGTATCTCTTAACTCATGTTAATCATAATTCGATTGAACATGGGACGAATCAAGTCATGATTAGAAATTTAAAAGTTAGGGAAGCCGTTTATTGAAGAGGAAGTAGATACATCAGACCATTGGTTTATAAAAAACCAAACTAAAATCCCCAGCTAATCATTCATTCGGAATTTTAAATACAATTTACTTCGATGATCCCTATTTTATTGACTAAGTGATTATTTCAGTTGTATTTTTTTACAATAGTTAAATTATATATATATACAGCACAACTGAACGATCACGACCCCACACAATAGAGTTTGTATAGGATATATGGAATCCATTTAAAACTAATCATTGATGGAGACATAATGATTACTTAATTGAGTTCATTATGTCAATATGTTTAGTTTCAACTTGGTTTACGTCACGATATGACATCAGTGAGGTGAAACATAGATAATTCAGAAAGCATTAGAAAAAGGTTTTGCATTCGTTTGGGAATTGCCAAACTACATCTCGATCCTACGCTTCAAGAATGGTGTTAAAATCATCTGGTCTATTAGATATTATTATTGAAATTTGTTGACGAGATGCATTTGGAGAAAGGCAGAGGTCAAAGGGTTCTGTGACACGTCCATAGATAATTATTAGTGATTTATGATAATTTCTGTGCCGTGTATCAAAAACGTCCGCTTTACACAAGTTAGATAGTGATGAAACAAACATTCTATTCCTAATTGCTACTTATCCAACTTGGAGTCGAGAGATTCAATTTGAACCGAATGTTGAAGTTGACTAACAATCGTCGATTATATGTGAACACGATTTCGTCAAAAATTTATACTAACTCAGAGATTCATATTGATATCAATCAATGTTGCAATCAAATGTATATATGTGGACACATTCTGTTCTGAATTTGGTCTATTAATCCTCATACGTCTACACAATAACGGTGAAATCGTTGTAGTAAATTCCCCATGGAAAATACACAAAATCAAACTCCTCTATTCACCAAAGTCGAATGGATCCAATTAAATGGTATTGTAGTAAACAAGTGTGACATTGGAAAGGACGTTTAGGAATTTACTGAACCACATGGTACTCAGGCATACAAACATAAACACGAATAAAGTTTACCACTTATTTGTTACGTCAGATGAAACAGTGATATGATTATGATGCTTCCATAACAATTCTCTGATTGAAATTGTATTCAAAAGTAAATTCTGTTAGTTGGTACTAACGCTCTCTCATTTTGATCTTAGGAATTTCGAGTCTTTATGCAATTATCACCATTCTTTCGTATGCTTCTTATATACACGATCGGTATGTTTGGTGGAGGACTAATTGTCCACCTCTACTATGTACAACATGAAGAGGATTTGTATACAGCAGCACTGTCTGCAGCCAAGTCACCGAAATTGACAGCAAATGATAATACATATAAACAGTTGAGTAGGTTAGATTTAACTTAAAATGACTATCGATTTCTTTATCGTGTTCCCCTGAAAATTACAGGTCTTTCGAACGATTCAATACACGAACATGCATTACAACATTTAGGTAAGTGTATTGGTTTTGATTTGAAGTGGGAAACCACAGTTGTTATTAATGGTTTCAATGATTATTCTAAAAATTGCTTTCAGTTGAAGCAATACTCGAAATATCCATCTATGATTCAGACTGTAGTTTCCGAATTCTAGCTAAATATTAACGAACTGAGTCGTTATAAATGTGAATCATTTTTTTCAGTCACCAGTGTCTTTACTAAGTAAGTAGGCGAGTTGAGTGGATGGTTTGTCGTACATCAATCTTATCCATTTTCGAGATAGTTCCCATTTGTAGAAACGCATTTGGCCTGTATTACTTTCCACTGTTGAAAACATTTATGCACCTCTCTGAATTCAGACCCTTCAGTCGTCTCATCGTTTCACATTTTACTCTATCTATCCTAAGTGACTCTGTTGGAGCAAATAAATAGAGAACTTTCTCAAACTCATACTCACATAATTCATCCAGAAAGTGAATTGGAAACGTAAAAGCTGGAAACAATACACACTTTTGTGAATTTTATCAACATAGGTATTCGATGAAAGTGTTAAGCTCTCATCACCGTTTTAGTATTGACAGCCCTCAACGAGGTCTTTCATCTATTGGAAACAATTTGTTCCTTTCAGTTTTAGCTCCATAAAGAACCCTTCACGTCTCAACAATTTCCTCAAAGTCTTTCCTATGTTTCACCGGAAACCTCAGGAATTCACTTAACCTATTTCTTAATCAGCGAACGAATACAGCATAAAAATGGCATTGGTATCAAAGAAACAAGAGAGATTATCGTGATTACGATCAACCATTGTTATTTATTTACTAACTTCCCATTCACAGTTGAAGACATTTCACTGGTTTAGAAATGAAAGCAGTTGGATTATCTGTAGACTGATCATCATAATTTACGTACTTTCACCATAATGTAGTCAGTCGTTTCTCTATAACTGATTTGAATGTACGGTGTGAAAATAGCAGGAATACGAAACTGGGTGCATTTCTCACAGGTAGTGTTGTCATGTCTTGTGTTCTGTCTATTCAAATATGAAAATTGAACATTGTGGTGTCTACAAGATTTCAAAGCTATTTCCTATGAATAAATATTAGCCAATGAGAGTGGTTGGCTAACACAGAGTACACGGTTATCTATTATCCCCATTAGTGTTATCTCAAATAAAATGTAAACGGAATGGAGTTCAGAATCAATCAATTTCATAATGAATGTTCCATTGTTTATTCATGAAGTTGGAATATAGTATTTAGTGATCACCAATATTTTGAGGAATATTTATGATGTGATGGCGTGTGTCTTCAAATGGAACCGAAACATGCTTGCTAACTACACATGTTAGTACAGTGTGATGAGGTTTATTGGAATTGACATTAACCGAAATACGACATGGAATCTATACAGGAATGATTTTAGTGATGGCATTGATGTATAGACGTGGAAGATAGAGAATTCGAACTAGTGGATCGTGTTCAACACAAATTTCGTGAGCGCACCGTGAAAATTTTGGTGAGTTAATCAAGTGAGAAATGTTTTGGGTGGGTGTGGAACCTTTGGCTGAATACATGTGCTAGCTGATGGTTTTGCAAATATTCATGGAGAAGAAGAACAAATTGACTGCCTTACTCTGTGATGAGTTGCAATGTTGTGGTTACATCTAGAGAGTGTGTTGATTTATGAATTAATGGATTAGAAATGTTTGAGAAATTTCGGTTTTCCAGGATTGATGATATTTATTACTTGTAATGAAACAGTTTCATAATCAAATGATATGGCAGATGACACAGGAGAAATGACAGTACCGACAGAGTAGTTCGAATTTAAGAACTTCGGAAAATGATCCATGTACAATATAAGTAAAATCCCAAAAAGTGGAATATCTGATCGATAGCTCATAGAGTGGAATGGACCTCATTTGAAACAAGTTAGCTTGTGTCATTCTCCATACTGTTGAAATTTTCAATAATTTACCCTCATCTAGATCCAGTATTTCCAGCATATCTTCGAAAATATGATGAGCTTCAAATTGTTTCCTTAGATTTGGTTGAGTTTTCATTTTTTTCGATATACGTTTTTACTTTTCTGACAGCCAGGATTTGGAGGTCTATGTCATGTTTATTGTGGTGGTTCAACTGTACCACCTAACTTCTGATGATGAGCTGTTCAAACACTGAGTCTTAGAGGTAGAGACATGTTTAAAATTTTTGATATTTCTTCTCTTCGTTTCAGCTTGGCCAATCGGGTCACAAATATGTCGTCTCCATTCTGATAAAAATTCAAGTAGAGTATTCCGGGAGGATGTCTTGTCTCGTCTATACATTTAAGTTCTTTTCGGATTTCCAATTCACTAGGTGTGTTGCTATTGAGTGTGAATCAATGCACAACATCTGTTTCACTATGTTGAACTTGTGTTGATCTGTGAAGTAACTAACTCTTTCCATAAGTTGTGTAAGTGAACGGGTACCTTCGAAATGTGGTCAGTATAACACGAGATTTGTAGATTCAAGACTCTTACTAAGGAGTATATGTCAGCTCATGTGATACAGATGCATTAACTGCATTTTCTCCCTACTGAAAATTCAGTGAACATTGTTTTAATTGTTCTCATTGTTTTAGTTAAGTTTCTTGACTACTCAGTCAGTCAGTCAGTCAATTTCTCTGTTTATGCGAATTGACTTACTTTATTCAGACAAACGGTGGTAGTTCGTAGTCTCGAATGTCAAATTAATTTTCCTCGTCTTAGAGGAAGAATTAGACGAATCTACATTGTTTCTATTCTTGTATACTTTCCTTCCTACCTGTAGCCGAGGCAACATTGGCTAACGTATTGGCTAAACAAGTACGTGTGTTCTGTTGGATACTAACAATGCCAGCGAATCATAAATCAAAAGCTGTTCATGTGAAAGCTACGTGGGCTGGTCGATGTAATAACTATTTATTTATTAGTAGTGAAACTGATTCGTATCTTCCTTCAATAGGTAAGTCACTGATTGTCCAGTTGTCAGAATCGTTATTATTATTATTGTTGTTATTACTGTTTCATGTTTTTGTGACCTATATGACCAGACTAGATAACGAAACAGTCGAAACGATAGTAATATCAGTGATAGTAAGCATCAAGAAAATAATCTTTAAAAGGGGATTATTTGGTGCAATGAAAATTATGGAGAAGTATTGGAATTCAAAATCTAAGGAAATATTATTAAAATGCATACATCTGTCTTAATGCATCAGATTCCGAGTCATACCACTCAACGTCTCCAAATGTTGTAAATGATTATCCCAGGAACACTAAGCCGGTAAATTGGACTTACTAATGTGACTCATATCAACATTCACTGACTTCCGTGATTGAATCCTCGTCCCGGTCTTTCCACCCCTTATTTTATGCAACCTCCTCCTGCACCAGCCAGCATTGATTGTCAAGTCAAACCGTAGTAATTAATGTGTAACACATTATCGACACTAATCCAATTTAGAATGAAAATGATTAATGACTAGATCAGTAGAAACCCACGTTAAATCTTGTGTAACATTTAAGGTTCTACTATTTACTCTGAGAGCATTGAATACACTATATTACCTCATAATTAGACTCGTGTTTAAATTGAAGCTTCTGAGAATACTGTATTCATTAGAAAATACAGGGACATTTGGTTCCATTCCTAAATGTCTTATATGTCTACTCATCTAGGTATTTGAGAAAGGAGTGTTTACTTTAAGCTGTAAACTAAATACGGAAAGATTACAATTTTTAAATTCCACCATGACGTTTTATTGCACTTTGGAGAACACAACATACCATTTGCAAACCCTGGTAAGAACGTTCAAACTCTAGTGTTTGCCTGTCCTCTTGAATCAATGATTCTAGCCTATAATCGTTGTTTTTTATTGTAAATGAGATCAAAGCATACAAACATATTTATTGTCTAAAGATCCCCATCATGTTAAGAAGACTAATCTATGAACGAAGAATATTGTTTTCGATAGATTCTCTTCAGGTTCTACAATCCATATATTCAAATTATTAATCCGAAAAATATTCAGGTCAAGGGTAAAGTGCATCGTTTAAAGTAAAAGCATGTGAACTGTAGGATTGTCAAACAAAATAGAATAAAATTGTTCATGTTTTTATGACTAATATGGAATGTTGACTTGAATCTGCTTGTATGTTAAGTGGAAATTACTGTTGTTATTATTATTACTACTACTATTGGCTAAAGATCATTATTCATCTCCCCAATACACGATTCATTTACTTCACGTTCATCCTTACTAATAATATTTTACACAATGTAGTCTTTCGCTAAACATTTGATCGAATTGTAATTGCACTATGATTTCTCTCACACTATCTGACCCATATTTATTCTGATAATAGATCTTTCAATATGAATAAATTCACTTGGTATTGTTTTTACTTGAATCTTCTTATTGATGCTTAGCACTGCAATTGATCAGTCTGTTATTGGCGCATGTGCATACTGTTTGTATTGCCTTGATATTGCCTTAATTCACAAGCATTCTAAGCAAAGATAGATAGTGGCCAGAAGTGGAATCCAGTTTGACGCGCGTTTCGTCCTATTTAGGATCCGTCGCCTGTATATACCTGCATCTGAGTTGAAGTTCATTCACTCTGGGACTCGAACCCGGTACCGTTCGCTTCAAACTCCATCGCGTCATCTACTCAGCTACTGAGTTCTGATAGCCACTTGCTTGTGCAATGGGGTGAAGTTTAAATTCACTTGATATTGTTTTTCCATATGATTTATACAAACACATGTTTACAAGCATAAATTGAAATAACAAGTAGTTATGGTAATTAAAATAACCCATTATGTCATTGAATTTAGCAATGGAAGTTTTCTTTTCGTTGAAATCATTTACTTAGACTGTACATTCGTATTCATAGATATGTGGAGAATATATGTCTATGTTCTGTCCTTCTATAGACATGTTTTCCATATATCTATGAGTACGAATGTACAGCATAAGTAAATGATGTCGTCGAAAAGAAAATTTTCATCACGGAATAGCTATAGATTAATGAATTATGATAAAACTATTTGCAAGCAATAAGAATTTGCACCATCTTACAAAATTAGAAGAACTCTCAATAGTTGAGAGCATGAATCGGTTGAAGCTAGACTACTATGGGAAACCTGAAAGTACGGAACAGCCGTCCCGTCGTATTGTGGGACTCCTCAACAGTGCCTTGTAAAGTAGGTGGATTACGCTGATCGGATATTATGTAGTAGTAGTAGTAGTAGTAGTATTAGTGTAGTGAACAAGAACGCCAGTGGAGACAATCTAATGTATTCAACACAAGATTACAGGACTTGTTAATAAAATCTAGCAATCATAAAGTAAATGCTTTATTTACAAAATATCCACCGATTGTCTCAAAATGACTCAGACTTCATTGTCCTTGCATTTTGATACAAATTGCATTCTGTTTTCATTCTTTACTGCTCGATCCTCTTGTCTCTCTGCTGCCAGACATTCTGTTCACGGCTAACATGTACACTACTAACTTATGTCAATATAAGTAGCACACACCGCAGTAGTAAACAGTGTTCTACTATATAACCCTTTATCCAGATCAAATTATATCGTGGATACATTGTTGGTGAAAGATGAAACCCAGATGCTTTGTGTCAAGCATTTGATTAATTTGATTTGGTCGCGTTTATGGTATGATACGATCTTTGTACAACTCCATTGATCAGTTACTGTCTCAGTAAAAATATGACCAACTATCCTGATCACAATATCTCATTATATTGGGCAGAGGTGAAAATAAGTGTACAGGATATATAGTGTTACGTGGAAAAGATTGTTGTGCAATATATAACTGACTTTACGAGAAACATTACATTAGTGTTATCTTAAAATAATGATTTATCTTAGACATCATAATATACACTGTGTGTATGTACACTGAGAGTACTCAGATAATATTGTTCGAAGCTCATTGGACGAATGAATATTGTCGTATTGTTTTCAGTTACAAAAAAAAAATTAAACATTTTAATCGACACTACCAATGTGTTTCGATTTACATGAGACTTATACAGATCTTAACACAAGTGAATTTTTCAAGTAGCTGTGCATGTAATGTACTATTTTGACAACTGTATACAAACAAAGACTGGACTCAACTATAAAAACACTGATGCAGATAAAAATATATTCACTGAACAAAACGTTAATTAGGCATCAGGAAGAGCTTTTGTGTGGGATTTCATAATAGATATATCTGATGTTAAAGTATAGTGTAAGGATAATGCAATCAGAATAAAGATAACCAGTTTGTAATTTGTAGAAATGTCGAAAATGAATGATTTTTCTATTTTGGTGCAGAATGTGCAATAAAACTACATTTTCATGGTGCTTCGAAAGAGAATGAGAATCGATGACTCCAAGTAGTGTTCTTCAAGGTTGTCCACTTTCTCCATTTCCATTTAACTTATTGGTAGACGTTCTTCTTGAGATAATAATAATAATAATAATAATAATAATAATAATAATATCGTGTGAATTATGATAAATTGATCTACCAGAAGATTCATTTGTTGACTCGGAATACTTAGATGAAATATTTTTATTTGGTGAATACCTTGACAACACTCAGGGTCTCTTGACCTCCTTAATCAATCAACAGTGCGAGTGTGTTTGTGATGCGTATCACTTCATCGTAACGCAAAATATTGCTTAAGGACTGGTTTCTGCCAACCTTGAGTTTGACGATAGCGAGTGAAATAGTGGATTGTGTCGACCACTTCACTTCACTTCACTTGAAAGTCTCATCAACACTAGTGGGTTAGTGTTTGACGGAATCTCGACACGGATGGAGAGAGGCCGGTTGGCGTTTACCAACTTGCTTCACTTGTGGCGCACACAAGATATACGTCTGTCAACTGCTCGACACTTCGCTCCGATCTACTTGATGGGTGAGAAACATACCTTTTATAATAAATGATATTCTTGGGTTACGAGGTCTTGATCATCAATGTCTTCAAATCATTGCTCATATATTTTTGTACCATCGATTTGACAATTCTGAGGTTGAACGCACAGCACCAGGTAACTATAGGAAGTCGATTGACGAGGTAATGAATCTATCGACTGAGATTGTTGGGATATGCATTATACATGTCCAACTACCAACTAACTGGATGCGTAATAATGGCTGGTGCAACTAGTAGCTTGGGAAAAAGTCAGGGGAGGACAATAAACAAAACGTGGCATCAGTCCACAAAGGCATTGAATGTTGAACCAATCCATGTAGTTAGGTGCATACAACCTGGTTGAAATCCGCGTGATCATCGTAAACAATGGTTGGAGACTTTGAGTAACAATGCTCAAAGTTCTCAATTACTCAGATGCATTCATTCTTCGTCTTCTCTTATATTCAAAGTTCCCAAATTCCACATGAAGTTTTCAATCATTTTGATAATTTCATATTTCCTTCCCGAATCGTATCTTCTATTTTTAATTTTCTTTGTTACCACTGATACTGTTACTATGTCTACTGCCCTTGGTTTTTCCCTAACATTTGAGCCAATGTGATGTGGCAACTTGAGCCGAAATATATATGTATATAATTGGCTGAATTACCTGGCTTCTAAGCCAAGTTTGAATTTTAAGAAAAAGATAAATCCTATCATCATTCAGTCCAAGTCCACCAGAGGTTAGTGAAAGTTCCTTCCCATATGAACTCCGTCTCCCCGTGTTGGTTATTATCATTTATGATTGTCATTGAATCTGTCTGTTTAGTTACTCCAATCACCACCGAATATATCAATGTATTCGTAAATTGTAGCTGTTATCAATGCTGAAGGTCGCAACTTATTGTGGAATAAAACAGCTGGAGCCATAAAATACATGGCAAAACATTATGCCAATGATTACGATTACTTCATGAAGGCGGATGATGATTCATATGTGATTGTAGAGAATCTGCGCAAAATTTTACATAAACAAAATCCCGATAAACCATTTATCATGGGCAGACGATTCAAGGTGAGTTGTGCATCTCCATATCTATGGAGTAGTTGATTTTTGACAAGAAGATTTATTTGCGTGATAAGATAATACAATCAACCGATAGTATATTAAAGTGACTGTGGTGGCCAAATCAGTAAAATGTCAAACAAATTTAGGTGGGTTAGCGTTCTCCCAGATGGGTAGTTCAATATTGAAGATTTTGTGGTCTTTCTGGACAGCATCTTGACAAAATTCGTAGGGAAATGGGATGTTCGAATTAACACACATATGCTTACTGATTGCTGTTTGACCTGCTCCGATTTACTTAAAACTCTAGTTTTGTTTGTATTTTCTCTCCTCAAGATTTCAATATATTCTCAATCAAATCCGTGTCTACAATTGTCCACATGCATAGGTATAAGCGAAGATAACTCATGGTGCTTCTCAGACACCTAATGTTGTTGATGATGAAGAAGAAGGCAGCCACTCTGTCCATCGTGATTTTTATTGCAGTTGAAGCAGTTCACTTTGCTCAGATTTTCGTCTTCTCTCTTTTTGTTATTTCCTCTTTAGGTTTGTTAGGATATTCTGTAATGGTAGTAATAGTAGCAACACTGTTAGTACCGAATGTAATCCAAGTTCCCAGATCTAACTTGTGTGTGGTATAATAGTGATGAATGGATCGGGACTGAACACAGAGAACACAGTCTACACACTTGAATTGTATTGAATTCGGAATTGTGTGGTTAGGTATGTACAAAATAATTAGTATTTGATAAAAACACTCCATCATCCTGGTACTGATCCAAGTGATTTTGGTGACACTTATGTTATATCCGTTCGAAAAGGCTATTTCCGGTTAAATACCACGTTCATCAATGGAGTAATCATCAGTGTTCGGTCACAATAATTAACGAAGATTATAGTGATTTTGATTTACCTAACAGATAGGATATGATTGACCAATGATTAGAACTGAATGTTGTGATTACTCGGATTACTTACCCAGCGTATTATTACTTAAGTGAGGAATTATTTCATAAATGTAAACAGAATATCTTCATGATAATTGAAGTTGGGGAGGGGGCGGGGAATATCAAATCGTTTCATGACAGGAACTGTCAATAATTCAAGTGAATTTCTAAAGATCATAGTTTCAGGTTAAGAAAAGTTGTTCTACTATCAGAGAGCATCCAAATAGTTCCCAGTGTTACCTTAATTTGTATAAGAATTTGAGAAATTCAAATACTTGTTATTACAAATAATGCGTCTAAATTGTTACTTTCACTCTCCTTAATCCATGATATTCTTCTATTTCCTTCACATTCTTCTTCTTTGCAAAATAGCCATTTGTTAAACAAGGATATATGTCCGGTGGTGGAGGATATGTGCTATCTCGAGCTGGTCTTTTGAATATCGCTAATGGTTTGGAAAATAATGCCATTTGTCAAAGTAATAAACATGCATTCGCTGAAGACGTGAAACTTGGTAGGTATACATACTAATTTTGCGTGCGACGTGATTGTATTATTACTATGCAACAACTGATTTGAATAATAATTGATATCGTTGAATATGACATGGAAACGGCCTAATGCATTTGGATTAGTCTGAACGGTTTGTGAAATCCTGAAGACATTAAATTCGATTTTTGGATGAAGTCTAGGTGCTCAGTATAGAGTAGCTTTATAGTGGAACGCAACAGTTATTTGCTTCCAGTTGGGTTTCCATCGGTTGTCTTACACTATGACATCTATATCTATTCTCATTATCATTCTGACAATTACAGTTGACACAATAATTGGAGTTGGTAGTACATAGTTGATATGTATTTATCAACTAACAATTCTGTTTTGTTCTACTTATCATTGTAAGATCCCATGCATTGCTTTTGCATCTATAATTTACACGATGTATAAGCGTATGATAAGTCATGTTAATTAAACGCTATATTCGGTTCCTAGGCTATTCTCGTAACTCTCAAGCTAGAACTACACAGCGATCTGAACACGAGAGAAAAGAAGCAAAACAAACGAGAAGTACTTGACTCAAGAGGTTCGTTTATGTACAGAAAATGCAGTGTTTTTATATTATTTTAGATATCCTTGGGTTTCTGGAAAATTCTGGAATGCTACCGAACATAGTAGCAGTATGAGTAATCATCCAATCAGAAACTCGACATGTGACGTCTCACGTTCTAGATGTTTCTGGCAAAACGTCTAGTGAACGCTGATTGGATATGATGCTTCTCAGTGTTTTCAGAGCCTTTTTTGGCTTAATTTCGAGGAATTTTCTGTATCTCCTCAACGCCTCCCCTTTTTTCGAAAAATGATACTTTTTATCTGGTCTACTTGCAGCTTGATAACTGGTTTTCTGCGACGTTCGGATTTTCTTAGTATCCAGCGTCTATGAGTGTCTGTTGAGGTTCTTGCCATTGGAGCATCTGTAATTATCTCTCCCAGAAGACTCACTCGACTATATACCGTGTTTAGTGTTCTGTTTTCTCTGTATATTTGATCAATGTGTCTAGTCCACGTTCCGAAAGTCCCAAGTACTTTGTATAAAACATTTCCTATTCTCTTCTCAATGACTCACGGTTGCCAACGATTTCCCCCAATGTATGACTTGACGAGCACTATATCACCCACGTTAAAACTCCGGATATTCTGATTTTATCTGCGTCCATCTATTGGTTTAGGTGGCAACATGGCGTTGAATATAGTTCGGATTCTCCTCCCGAACATTGCTTCAGCAAGGGAATTCCCATCTGGAACAATGGGGTTTGACGTAGTTCTATAATGTGCTAGGAATTTCTTAATTACCTGACTTCTACCTTTTGCCCTTACCTTTCAGTAGTGCTCTTTTAAATGTGTCCACGAAGTGCTCTACCTGTCCATTTGATTGAGGGTGATAGAGTGGAGAGCGCATATGCACAATTCCATTAATGTTGCAGAAGTGCTTGAGTGATTCTGCAGTGGATTGTGAGCCATTATCGGTCACTAAAGTCTCCGGAACTCCAAAGTAGCTAAACAGTTCGGATTTGTGGCTATTTTGTGAGTGTGTCCACTATGACTAGAAGAATTCTCCCTCGTATTGGGCCGGCAAGAGCTGCGTGCAGCCTCTCTCAAGTACTTTTAAGTTTTTCCCATTGTTGTGGTTCATATTTATTTGGACTTTCAGCTGTTTGCAGGCACGACGAACAATTGCAGCATCTGGTTTCGATATCTTCATCCATTGTAGGCCAGTAAGCATAGCTTCGAGCCAACGCTTTCATCTTATTGATACCGGTATGACTGTAGCGGAATTGTCTCAGAACCTTGTGGTGTAATGTTTTTTGGAATAACGATTCTATCACCAAACATAATTGCTCCAATCCCTTAGTTTGAAGCATCTGATGCTAATACGATGGGTAAGGATGGATCGTAATGGGTGAGCAACAGATCCGAGAATAGTATTTTCTTGACTTCCTCAAAAGCAGCTTGGCAAGTTGCGGACCGATCCCATTTTACATTCTCCGTCAGAAGGTTATTTAAGGAGGCACGTAAGTGATGAAGGTTAGGAATAAAAGTTCTATAATGACTAACTAGTCCCAAAAAGAATCGTAGTGTGAGGACACCCGTCGGTCCAGACATAATTTTCACTGCCTAGGTATTCTCTGGATCTGGTCTTTTGTCATCTTTGTCGATTACAAATCCAGGGAGGCGTACATTTTGCATGCAATAGTTACATTTCTCCACACGGAGTCAAATTCCATATTCGACTAATCGTGACAGCACCTGGTCGAGCTTCTTTTCCAAGTCTATTCTATCTACTCTCATAATTATTACATCATACAGATGAGCTGCAACACCTGGAACATCCTGTAGCATATTATCCATTGCTTGATGAAATATAGATGTGGAAGTCTTGACTCCGAAGGGTAGTCGATTATGCCGGAATAGACCCTTGTGTGTGTTTTCGGTGAGCAGATTTTTACACTCATTAGCAAAAGGAATTTGAAAATAAGCTTCTGATAAGTCCAACTTTGCAGAGAGCTTACCTCCATTCAGTTTAGCAAAAAGATCTTCAGGTAGGGGTAAGGGATACTGATGAGTTTCTAGGGCTTTATTTCGCCCAGTTGAGTAATCGCCATATAAACAGACGCTGCCAGTAGTTTTCTTTACTACCAATATTCTGAGAAATTCACTTGTTCAATGACACCGAATTTCTGAAGTCGTTGTGGCTCTTGTTCATCCAGTGGGAAGGCAGCATATGGTACAGGTCTCTTAGGTCAAAACACTGGTTTTGATTCATTTCGAAGGGTAAGAGCAGCTTTAAATTTACTGCATTCTTCAAGACCATCACTAAATACCATTTTATGTCGTTTTAATAATGCTTCCACTGAGTTTTTCTCTTCAACTTTCGACGTACTGACGTTGTTACAGATTGAGTTTATGGGACGGTTTTAAAACTTCAACATTTCTATCCAGTCAAGCCCCAATAAGTCGAGTGGTGGACGTTCTGTCAAAAATATTACTCCCTTCTCCGTAAACTATTTGACTGTGACTTCGCAATGAATCTCACAAAAATGTTTAGAATTCCCCCGGATGCACTTTGTGCTGGTTGATGAATTGAATATATTCGCGGTCTCCCAATATTTTTCTCCCACGTTCTCCTGCTTATAAGTGTTATATCGGAGACTGTGTCTAACTGTAAGCGGGCATCATACCCACTAATCTTGAGACAAACATACTTTCTACGATTATGTGAGCTGGCTTTGTGAAGAGCCACCGTTACTTTAGCTGTTCGTGGCTTGAATCTTTTAGAACACACTGTCTGTTAACGGCGTTTCCAGGTTTTGCAATGACTTACTTTGTGCCCTTTTCTAGAACACATAGTACATCGATGATTTCTAGAAGGGCAAAACCTTTTAGAACGCCAAACGCCACATAACCAGTGTGAGGATGATGGTTTGTTGCTGTCATTACGATAATTCTGCGTGCTGGTACCTTGTAAAATGTTTCTCTCAACTGCATTGACGTGAAGGAACTTCTGGTGAACAGTGATTGGATGAAATGCTACTTAGTGTTTCCTGAGCATATCCTGGCTTTTACGAGTTTTCTGGACCACCCAAAAAGCGTAGAACCTGATTAGAACTTACTGGAAAGACTATTATTCGTTGACTTCATTTTATGTGTTTTGAAATACTGCAAATTCGAGAACAATAAAAGAAACAATTCAATGCTAATCTTATTCGATACATCTTCTTTTCCCTCCATTGATTACAGGATCTTGTGCTGAAGCTACAAATGTTTCAGTAATTGATAGTCTAGATGCAGAAGGACGTGAATGCTTTCATCCGTTCTCTCCATCACATATGCTTACAAAAGACACAAACGGCTACCCAGAATGGTACCTAAAGTACAATTACCACAGAATAGATACAGTGAGTTTTACTAATAAACATATCTACACTTAAATATGCTATCCACGGAAAGGGTTATGGTTGGCGAAAATGTAACAAGAGTTTCAGCATCAATTATGTACAGGATAATTTCCAATGCTCACTCAAGTCTATATTAAACTATACAAATGAGTGAGAATCAGACAAAACACTAGTTTCTGAAAGCAATGACTATTCTTCTTCCCCTACCATACATAACATTATCACACATTATGTCATGAATGCTACTGAATACTTCAGATACTAAAATGATATTATGATAATTCAAATTTCAACGTTGTCCCCATTATATATATATATATTTTAGATGGATTTATCTGAGTAGTATTATGTAACACAGAAGGTAGACGAGTAGATGGATAACGTATTGTAACGTACTGTTTGGTGGTGACAACAGAAACCAAACGAAGAAATAACAGAAGTCGAGAATAATGAGTGTAATATCGTTAAAGATCACTTTTTGAAAAATTCCCTACACTCTCACTAATTTGTAACAGAGATGGTCTGATAACTGATTCACTGAGGTTTGAGATGGCGACATTGAAGTTTGGCACGAAATTTCACGTCACAAATATTAGTTAACAGTTACGTAAATGAGTAGTGTTAAAGAAGATACATTTATGTGGTGCTTGTGGAAGGGGGTTGAGTAAATTAAACACATTAATAATATAACTCTGAAGTAAAAACAACAGTTTTAAAAGGAAACATCGCGACATGCTTTTGGAGCTCAATGTTAACTGTGTTTGTTGTAACGCTATCACAATCAAGCATATACTAGATGAGAGGTGCACATGTAGCGTAGAAATGTTTAGAGAGGGTTGCTCGTGATTGTAAGATTATTGTCGCATAATCATGTTCTGTTGACCTATTTATTATTCAGTGTGCAGTTACTCAACAGACTTTACTGACCTCAAATTGTACCTGTATCTCCCCACATTATTGTTATATTATTGTTATTATTATCGTCATCATCATTACATTGACTTTTATTCTCCCCATTTGATTGAAATCAGGGATTCGATTGTTGCAGTGATTATGCTGTCTCATTTCATTATATTAGACCTGAAGAGATGTATCTCTATGAATATATGCTGTATCACCTACATCCTTATGGGATACATCGAGATTATATGGATTTAATGAATTATTTACAACAGAATAGAATTTCCTGATACAATATCACTATTATTATTATTATCATTATTATTATTATTATTACTATTACTGAGGTATTCCTTTCAACCGCCTTGTATTTCTCTCACAAAAATGTAAACAACACAGTGAACGTGTTTGCTGGAAATTCATCATGGTTGTGCAAACTGTTTATATGTTGTCCATCATGCACTCGTAGTTCTGTCTTCCAATTGCTATTTCTCTCTCTCTCTCACACACAGATACAAAGACGCAAAAGATTCTTTGATTTTTGGAATAACCCTTCCTTCCTCTCTTTCGTTCACTTTCTCAGACATTCACCTCGTTTACACGTCACTGTAAAATAACTATGATTGATATTATTAGTACTTCTGTCTTCCCTCAACCTCCAAGTACATATCAATCGGTAAACCGATCAATCCACTAATTATTGTATAGACAACAGACAAAGAAATTCCAAGACGAGACATGCTCAATAAATAAGTTAATGAAAAATCAACTGAACTCCACCCATTACAAATATTGTATTACTATTATCGTTATTGTTATTATTATTATTATTATTATTATAAATCTTCCTCATAGCTTGTCTATGTAGACTTGTTTTATTTACTAAATAATTGTTTGTATTGTGAAATCTATTTGTTTCTATTTTTATTGTTTTTTATTTCTTTCCAAATATTGATGATCAGTAGAATAACATTTTCAATATTATCAGTTGAGATGAGAAACGTTTTTCAAACTTTCGTGTGTTTCTACCTGTTTGTTTTACATTTGCATATGGAACTTCACCCGGCATTGACCAGTAGCAAGAAGGTATGCTGCTGTGAAATGCCATATGTATGTAATTTTTGTATGAAGAAAGTTCCATCCTTTTTTTCAACTGTGCATATTCAAAGGGATAAAAACAGAACACATACATGGAAGTTTATAGACACGTAATGGAATAAAAGATGGAGTTTGTTCTTTCACTAAATTCAAGTGTTTTTAGTGGCCCGTGGATCTGACTCCATTTAGATTGTAAGAATGTTTGTTATCACCTATCCTCGTATACAATCATCAACTTAAATCACGTTAGTCAATAACGGAATTTAGATAAGTCAATTAACGAGAATGGCCTTTGAATACATATATTTTGTATGTAAAGTGAATGTAATAGAACAAAGCAAAATGACGCGCAGGGGAGATAGCTAGTAAGCAAACTCATTTTTAGCCAGGCGTTACTCAATATTTATAGGCAGACAAAATAAACTACAAACATGTGATAAGACATGGGATATGAAGTGTACACAGATATGCGCTCATATAAAAAAACAGTCAAGATTGATAAGCGAATAATTGACAAGGTCAAAATATGACTCAAGTAGAATGAATAGATTGGGCTGTCCGAAAGTTAGAATAAAGTATATGGGCTTAACATGATGGCTGACACTACATGCTCATCTATTGCCTATTTCCGCATATTGGAATCTATCAGTTCAATCAGTATTTTTCATTAGTGTTCAAATGAATAAACAAGACTAGTAAATAATGCGAAATCAGCTGTGGGGTACGCGAAGAGGTGTGTTGCTTGACGAGTCATTACCACTAAATATTACTATTATTAACACAAGGAAATTAGTCGTTTACAATATTAGAGCATTTGCATAAGATGCTGATTTACTGTTAGAGATCAATCAGTGAGTGTGAATCAACAATTCGATAACTAAGTTATCAGAAACTACACAGGGGCAGTTGATCTGCCTAAACCACAGTATGGATTGAGCACTGATATTTATGAAATTGATCTGGATTGCATATTATGTACCAGTTGAACGGTTGAACAATTAATCACACAATTTGGAATTATCACGATGAGAAACTAGCCATAAAGAATGTCAAATCAGTCGGAATAACAGTGTTGATTGTGACAGAACATGAAACCATAAGATATTTAATCTGAAAGACAGTAAAGGAGGATATCGAGAAACTCGTTGAATTGCCAAGTCAATTAATTCTGAGCAGTGCTTTTTGAAAGGAAATAGGTTGCTTTTTGGGCTGTCTAATCTATGTATTTTTGGATAATTTAAATACATGTGTAATATTATACATTGAATGACCACTCCTAACGTCTTGTAAACTGGTCGCTTAGAACACTTCTGGTCTACTGAGCAAATCATCATTACTATTATTCCAACTGATGCTGTGAGTTGTATTGCTATAGTTATCGTCAAGCGGTTAGTTATTAACGAGCTTCACCGATCATCATAAAAGAGCAAACATTGAGAAGTGTTTGGTTTGAATCCGAATACCTTGTAGCTCCCATACATGTAGAATTCTGTTTCCGTTACGTTTCCTACTTTAAGTTTGTTTTTATACCGAACTGACAGTGTAAATTTTTTTCTACATGAGTAATGACTTGTTGAGGGATTTATAAATTTCGTTTTATGTGTTACCGTTTAAAAAATTACAAATACCATTTAAACTGAGTAGAAGTGATAGAGATTTATTACGATAACTTTCTTATTTTACACCATGGCCGTATTGTCATGCGATGTATGGAAAGTTGACATCCTGGACTATCTACTTACAGCGTCACTTTGGGACCATGTTCAATCTATGATGAGACTCGTGTTTGGATGGCTAAATTGATGAGTGAACGAAGACAAGCCTAAACCGAATACTATATACTAGTGTCGTGGACGAGACTCAGGTGGGGATAACCAATTTACTATTTAATACAAACTTACAGAATATCTTTGTAAAATACGATGACCATACAAGAAATGCTTCGTTCACAAATCTTCCATCCATTTTCCTTTACATTCTGTCTGATTCTTCCAATTCACAATTCCTTTATATTACCCCTCCTGTTTTCTTAAATTCGATGTTCTCAGTCTCCTGTTGCCAGCCATTCAACTTCTGATTGTTGCTACATAAAACTCGTCTGCCGACATAAGTGAAGTACACCACACTAGAACAGACCGACTATCCAATAGTAGTAACTCTTCTAATTGAGCGCCACATTCACTTTTTAGGCTGTTCTAGTAACACCCAGGCTTGATCTACAAAGCAACTTGAACACGAGAGAAATGGCGCGAGATTTGGAAGAAACGCCTAACTCCAAAGGTTCGTTCATGTACAGAAAATCCAGTGTTTTTATAGTATTTTAGACTGTGGTGGACCAGACGATATATAAACGCAAAAAGTATCAACAAAGTTAATAAAAAGCAATAGTAATATTAATATATATCAGTTAAATGTTACAAATACAATAAAAATGGGACTTTACTTAAGTTCACTCAAAATGATGCGTGTTCGGCTTTAATCTGGTACAATAAATCCACAATTATAGATGCTTGGTAATTCCAAACGTATCGATGAACTCCCCAGTGCTGTAATCCAAAGTAAGGTATGGTGTATTCGCTCTCACAATCTATGAATGTAAATAATATTTCTTTTAGATCTCAGTTAACTCAATCTCGAATGAAAATAGAACGAGGAAAGTGAGAGAAGCAGTGTATTTGTTAGCCAGCAACGGTATGTCACGCTATGTTAGAATCACAACGGAAAAAGTGTTCAAGGTCATTTACTAAAACAACAGGTACAATCATTTAATGATAAATTTACATGCGGTGAGAAATTGACAAATACAAATAATATTAAAAACTATTTACAAAATAAGCTTGTCAGACCTATCTCCACAAGATATCCTTGGGTTTCCGGAAAATTCTGGAATGCTACTGAACATAGTAGCAGTATGAGTAATCGTCCAATCAGAAACTCGACATGTGACGTCTCACGTTCTAGATGTTTCTGGCAAAACGTCTAGTGAACGCTGATTGGATATGATACTGCTCAGTGTTTTTAGAGCCTTTCTTGGCTTAATTTTGAGAAGTTTTCTGGATCTCCCCAACAGATAATAATAGAATTTTAAGTCATTTCGTCAGTACATAAGCCTTTTTAGTATAGCAACCATTATTTGCTTACTTTTCTTAATGCTAAACATTTGTAACTCATTTGAAGTAATGGTGACTCTTCATAGAACATCTCACCTGGAGACATCTAACACTTATATCCCGGTGAAGATTAAATTACAAGTAACTCCCGAGGCCTATTAATGGACTAATATTCTATAAATATTCTTATTGTAAAACTATTGAATAATTAGATTATGTATATTTATATTCCTCTTATTATAAGCTTTATTTTGACCTATATTTTATTATTGTACGATTTACGATTCTTAAGCTATGCTCAGTCTATTAATTACTGTCCCCCTCGTTCACAGCCACTTTTGGGCTTATTTGTGTATACATGTTATTTTCTATTTTATGGCACGTTGTGGTCTGTCTGATTGATATATAAACCGAGTATGTCTGAAATAAACGATTCGATTCGATTCGATTCATATTACAGAAACTGGTATTGTGTTCTGGACTCAAGTGGAAGGGTTAGGAGGACATAGGACCAATCAAGACGCTAAACTGCTCATACCGGTTGAACGTCATTGGTTTGGCATAGTGCGAAATTGTATAAGTCGTATTCTGACTGGTCGATAAGTCGCGTGACAGAAAGCCAGACATCAAGGTCATAACAAACACCTTGATTGTGATTCGCATTTAAGGGAATATTCGGTATGACGGAATTCGTGTGTTTGAAATCATCGTGTGAACTAAACTTCTACAGCTTGTCTCAATATGTTGATTTTACTGAATGTGCTATGCTCAACAAGAAAATAAACGACCTAACACTCATTTTAATCACGATTAAAATGCGACATCAATCAACATCCATATTAAAATCTAAATTCTGAAATTGAATTTATAGGTAACTCAGTGCCACTGTGTACTGACTATATTGGTAAATTTTGAAGTCAACATATGAATACCACGAACAAATGAGGTTACGTACTAATCAAGGGGTAAGGAAGAAAATAATTTATGGGTCAGATAATAGTCCAATCGGCAAATATGAAGAAAAGCGACAAACACAAAGGTCATAATAATAGAGTTGTAATGGGTTCTCCATTAGGCCCTCT